GTCCCTCCCCCTTTCAGGTAACGAGCCAGGAGCCCGGAGAGTCGCAGGTTGATGGCGAAGCACTCTAGCTTCAGCTATTCTATTATAGTTATATTTTATTTTTGAGCTCCATTGTAGGCTTTTGTTTTTTGTTTAGACATTTTGAGAGTTATTTCTAGAAGTTATAAAGGCTGTGTGCCTTATTTCCTCTTTTTTTCAGACTTTATGTATTTGAGACTTGTTGAGGAGTTCCAGTTTATTCATTCTAGATATTGACTTGTATTTTAGTATGTTAGATGATGAAATATTATCTCTATTATTTTATCAGTTGACTCTTGTGTTATCTTTTACTTACTTTTGTACCTACACCTGTTATTGACTCTACTAGAGAGTATCAGTTGACTCTTGTGTTATCTTTTACTTACTTTTGTACCTACACCTGTTATTGACTCTACTAGAGAGATAGTAATTGTGATGGTGAAACATGTTATTGCACGGTGTGGTGCATGACAGGTTTGACATTCTTGGTTTTACCTTGGACTGCAGCCTTGTGTGAACCCGGGGCGTCACAGTAATAAACCATCAAATTCAATGACTTAGAAGCATACAAAACTTTACATAACTAGTAATTTAACCACAATGGCTGATTGCACAAAATGACTTTACATAACCAATCCCAACAATAGGCCTATAGGTTTCAAAAAAATGACTTTACAAATTACTTTCCAAACTTATATATGTACACAAAAATGCTTGATATCACAATTGGCATCTAGCATCCGGGGAATTGGTCTTGAGAATCATGTTGATTTCCTGAAAGCAAAATATAAGCGGATCAAAAGAACAATAGATTGAGTTTAAAAGTGATTCAATGAACATTACACTTATAGAAAATATACCTTCAGATAGAAATAGAGCAACGATGCGAGTTCTATGTCTTGCACAATCCTTTTGGTCAATTAAAATAGTTTGATCGGAAACGAGGCTAAACATGTATACCATCAAGAACACCCCGTAATCCAAGCTACCGCAAGTTCAAATGTTTGCAATATTAATATAACACTCTTGGCCCGCAATATGTGGTCTCTATGCATTAGCACATATGAAAAAACAACATATGAATAAGTCGAATACACTAACCCACATTGTTGAGGTACATCAACACTTTCTACCTCCTGACAAATAGTAATGTCTAAATTCCAAGCATTGGGAATGTTAGAAATAAGTTTCATTCTAAATTCACTAGCATCAGACATATATTCACATAGAGAAGAATAATGATGAAATCTTCTATCCTTTACAGAGAATACCAACATATGCCAATGAAATGAAGTTAGGAGTAGGAAAATAATCTTATCAAGTTCTTGGAATCGAGTAGTCGTTATTGGCTTAAACATTCGATCCACACTCGATAGGTTATTCTCATTGATGCATCTCTAAAAAACAAAGAAAGTTTAGATTACGAATTTAATATAGCTTATGAAACTTACAACATAGTCTCGGATTGGATTTCTACTTATGGTTACCCATGGACTACATATGTGTATGTCCTTTGCATAGTTGGGACGCGTCTCCATCAACCTATTTAGAAGCACAACATAGGATGCTATAACCTGAAATGTAGATAATAAAATTGCAAATATTAGTGTTATATACTAACGCGCATTGTGTGAAGTATGAAAAGAACATATACTTATGTTGCAACTAATTGCCTCTCCTTTAAGTAACTCTAATGCATCCTTACGTGTTATCAACGCATCTCTAGATGACCACACTAATGTCTCACTACATATGAAGAAAATTTATAACATGTATTAATGAAAAAACTTAGTACAATTTGAAAAGTAGATAAGTAGATCATTCAAAAAAAATTTATAACATGTATTAATGAAAAAACTTAGTACAATTTGAAAAGTAGATAAGTAGATCATTCAAAATACACTTACGCGGCCATATTCTTCTCAAACTTAGTACAATTTGAAAAGTAGATAAGTAGATCATTCAAAATACACTTACGCGGCCATATTCTTCTCCTTCCAAAAGTTATCTAGTAGTTCTCCCTCCTCATCCATTACTTCCTTCCTTCCCAGATAAATTGGTCATCCTTTTCTATTAACAAGCGAGACAAAAGGAGTCTTCAATGATGGCCCAACATGCCGAGATTTTGAGAGAACTGTTCTTTTGATGGAAGGGGTTTTACGCATGCCTTCAATCTTGCTTACATCACGTGGGCTAAGAATAAAGGCGTCGTCATCCACTTTCATTGAATCCAAGTCCACTTGATCATTACCACCATCCTCACCATCATCTTTATCTACATTCAATGTATCAACATCTTCACCAACCTCCTCATCCCCACCGACATCCTCATCCATATCTCCACAATTCCCCTCCTCATCCTCCTCATTCCCGCCATCAACTCTCCCCTCATCTTCCTCGTTCCCCTCATCAGCCCCCTCCACATCCTCCTCGTTCCCCTCATTATTTCCCTCCTCATCCTCCTCATTCCCCCTATCATCCCCCTCCTCGTTCCCCTCATCCTTATCATCGCCATCACTATCATCCCCCTCCTCGTTCCCCTCATCATCCTCATCTCCTCCTTTACTATCAACATCCTCTTCTTCCTCACCAAAATTTTCCCTCCTTATCTTCAAGAGAAGGTCTAATTCCACTTTTTTTCATATATGAGTTGATCCAACTCATTTTTGGTGATCACCTACACATAAATAACCTAAATAGCTCCAATTCAGTGATGAACATCAAATAAAAATCATTTTGTAAAAGGATGGGGAGCAATTAACTAACATGGAATAAAAATAAAAATATGTATACCTCACTCTCTCTCTCTCTCTCTCTCTCTCTCTCTCTCTTCAATCTTGTAGGGGCATCTTTTCTCTTTTTAAATTTGGAAGCCCTCGAGTCAATCACATGCTTCCTAAAATTATCCAGGTCTCTAATCAAATCTTGCACTGCACTCCTCCGTAGAGATCCCGAACCCTTGTAGAAGCTTAGGATGTGTGGTAAGGATTCTGCTCCTACGCGAAGGCGTAATTTTCCCACAAGCTCATAAAACCAAATCTGTGAGAAAATAAAAATTTTAGCTCAACAATAAACATGACTAAAATGAAATAAATATATACAATGGAGAATGACATAAAAATATAGTAAATGTTAACTTACCACCAAAACCGATGCAAAACCCCCCATATAACCGCCTCTAGATCGATTTCCCTCAACCCTCTTAGTGATGATTTTCTTAGCCTTATCCATCTCAGTACGCAGCACATTGTATACTAATTTAGCCCAATTATACTCCTTAAGAGTGTCCAATTTCTCAGCATATCTAAATGCAAACAAGGGACAACTCATACTAGCTTGAGGGCACAATATAAAGCCTATAATGAAAACCACGAGCATCTGTGGAAAAAGATGATCTTTACGTTCGACCATCTGCTTGATAAGTTCACTCATCCTATCTCTTCTAGCACACACAATCTTCTTCTTACCTTCGTCACTTTTCTTCTTTCCGCTTCTAGTCCTACACGTCATATCTTCTTCAATTTCAACCGTAGTACTATATGAAAACACAAGCTTGTAGATTGTATCGCGATCACTTCTATGAAACCGCGTGTCTACTATAGATCCTCCCATCGGGAAACCCGTAATTCTCCCTACTTCTTCAACATTGAAGGAGGTCCATTTTCCTCTAACTTGAAACCACTTTTTTCAACATTGAATACTCCCAACAAATAATCCACAATAACTGGTTGCATTGGCAAATCTGGAATATGTAAATAACCATAAAATGGAGTACCACGGAGGGCAGTTTGTTGATCTTCTGATAAATAAACAGAATTTTGATTTTGAAGGTCCCGGAAGTACCCAATGTTCGATGGAATTCACACTAAAGCCATGATATATAATTTTCTGCAACCATAAAACACAAGGAAACTTTATTTGTCTATCAATATTATACATAATTCCTTTATTAAAACAAATTTTATTTCAAAGCCTATGATTTCAAAATACTAACAGCAACATTTCATGCAGTCAATTTCAAATTAATCTATATCAACATATTCTTCATTTAATTTCCTTTCGACATCATAAAGTCATGAAATTGAGCCAGTCCGATACTATAGCTAACAATGTCCATTCCTCAATCTTCAAAATTTATAAATTTCTAAAAAATGTTTGAAAACCGATATCATTCCTCAATTATAAAGTCATGAATTCAAAACAATATAAAAGCTTCAACTAATCAGTACCTCAAATGGGGGAAGTCGACGACAACGATGACTAGGGCGTCGACGATCGACGATTGGGGGCGTCAACGATTACATCAACGACGATTGTGGCATTGATGATTGGGGGCGTCGACGGTTGGGACGTCGACT